TCAAATGTAAACACAAGATCTCTCCAATTTAAGGTCAAGATCCCCCAGATTTAATCCCCACAACCTGCAGACTTAAGCCCAAGATCCTCCATACTCATGTTCCAAACTCCTCAAATCTCACATGAAAAACCCTTAAATTTAAGCCCAAGATCCTCAGACTTTAGCCAAAAATCCCACAGATTTAAACCCAAGATCTCCAGATCTAAGCCCAAATTCTCACAGGTTTCAGCCCAGGATTCCCAGCTCCAAGCCCCTTTCCCCACACATAACAGGGCAGGATCCCATGGGTGTCCTGCTGGAGAGCTGGCTCCTTCAAGGCTCCTTCTCCCCCCTCAGCCCCAGGACAAGGCATTGGGTGAGTGCTGGGGTCTCCATGGGCAGTGGGGGATATCCCCTCCCTCACTGCATCCTGTGGGAAAACCGGCACCAGAGAGATGCGACCAGTCCGGGTACCAGAGATGCTGTGCCGGGGTCAAGGATGCGGCTCCATTTGGCATCTCCAGTGAGAACTGGGAGCTTCCTGTGGCCTAATTTAGCCTGATGGCTGTAACTCAGCCCGTATCCCATCTCTCTGAGCCAGCCCAGCAGTCCCAGCCCTGCTCCAGTGGCTTTGGAGCAGCTCCCAACCCATTGTCCTCAAGGCAGAGCTGTTCTCCAAGGCTCTGGTTTCCTCCATCATCCCTCTGTGCCTCAGTTTCCCCATTAGACCTACACTGATGGAGCTGACCAAGAGAGCAAATGCTCCCAGTGTGGTGCTGAGCGAGGCCAATGGGACTTGAGCCCAATTCCCAGGTAAACTGAGGCAAGGCACAGCACCCGGGCAGTGCAGGATCAGCCCTTCCCAGCCAGCACCAGAGACCTTGGGGCTTCAGCCTCTGACAGGCAATAGGGGAATTGAGCTGCTTGGCTTTCCCTGGCATGGAAAAGTGACTCCCTTGCTGGGAGATGAGGGAAAGCAGAAAGTCTCGTCTCAGCACTTATAGGACAGTGGAAATAAGAGATGGAATCCTGGATGGAAGTTAAACGGATGTGACATTGCATTAGAGCTGAAGCATCCTCCTCACGGGGTATGCTGTGATGTTTGCTGGGAAAGATAACCCCTGTTGACATTCCTCCAGGGATAACAACCCCCTGCGGTCCTTGCTGGGGAGATCGGAGCCAGACAGATCCAAATCCACCCAAACCTCCCAGCTTTGGGAGCAGTGGGCCCAGCTCTAGTCGAAAGTGTTGGGGTTGGAACTGGGTGAGCTTTCAGGTCTCTCCCAACCCAAACCAGCCTGGGATTCAATGATTCCATGATGATGATGGTTACTGCTATCCCTATTATCCACCCCCAAGCTGCATTTCCCAGCCCTCCTTGTAGGGAACCCCCAGGGATGGATGGAGCCAGGAGCTTGGAGGGGATGCAGCCATAGGGATGCAGGGGGTGACCTTGCACCCAGCCCATGGTGCGGGATGCCGGCGGCAGGCTCCTGGGGCGCAGCGTCTAGACAAGCGCATCCAGCCGCCACGTTCCCATGGCAACGCTGCCGGATGCAGGGAAATGAAATAAATAATGGGGAATGGGGGTGGGAAAACACAGGCGAGGGGAAGGAAAGCCCAATGGGATGGGTGCTGGGTGCTGGGTGGGTGATGGGGAGCTGTGGCAAGGAATCGCACCCCCTACTACATCTCTGCCTGTGCCCCCAGCACTTGCAGCTGCTTCCTGGAGCTCCTAAATCCACGATGCCAGCATTGGGAGTGGGGAAAAAGGGGCATTGCAAAGGCCAGAACTCCCCCAAAACCCATTAAGGTTGCAACAGCTGAGGAAGGTCCCAATTTGTGGCTCTTTCACCCTGCTTTTTTTGCTTGTATTGCTCCATCTCAGAGCATCTTCTAGGCCAGGGGCCGCATCCTGCTCATCTCCACCCCATAGCACAGAGCAATCAAGGCTCTGGCCCCTTTAATTTCTTTCTCTCTGTGATTTCACGAAGGCTTTTGCAAGTTGGAAGTAGGTCAAGAACTTCTTTCCAAGTCATTAACTGAAGTCCCCGGGTTCACAGCGGTGTTTGCACCTCCTTAATAGTCAATTCGCTCATTCCAGTCGAAGCCATTCCCCAGAGTGGAGCCGGGCGGAGCTGGGAATGGAACCACATGATGGAAACACCTCCGATGGCAAAGGGAAAATGAGCAAAATGCCGTAAACTGCCTCAAAATGAACGGTGGCAGAGCCTGCAATAGGGTGCTGAGGGTGGTGGGGTGCCTGTAGCAGGATGGGAGCTGGACTTGGCTGTTCCTCCTGGGGATGGGGGCAGGATCTGGGAGCCCCACGAGCTTGGTTTGCCCAAGGATGCTCATAAAGTCCCTTCAACCCTACCCAGGCTGTGATGATTCTCTGGTTCTATGACCTGCTGCAAGGACATCCAGGCCTGGGCTGTAGGAAACATCCCTCATGAGGACCAACAGCATCTGGCATCCCCTTAGGGCCAGATCCTGCTTTCCAGCTCTGCTGGGGGGTGTTTTCTCCCTGAACCCCGGTACTTTTTTTGCCCCAAACTCCTAGAATGGGGCATTTCTGCCCCAGTCCCCCAGGCCAGGCTCAGCAGCAGGGGCAGTGATGCTCCCACAGCGTCTTCAGGCTGGATTCAAGGCAGAATAACCCCCAAATCTCTTCAAAACGCAGCGAAATGAAAGGTTAAATCCCCGGCGAGGCTCGGGCATATGGTGTTCGGGAGGGAATCATCCAGGGAAGGATAATATCCCATCGGGGGGCACCGCTCCGCTCCTGCCAGGGGAGGGCAGAGGCTTTAGTTCAGCTCGATGCACAGATGCTGCAGGCAGGGGCAGCCGGGAGCATCCTGCCTGCGCCGGCCCCGCTGACAGCGGGCAGAACTGCAGCCGCATGCTCAGGGCTCTTCAGGCTTTAGGGACAGCGTTTTCAGATGGAAACATCCCCTTTCTGTGGGGGAATGAAGCCTCTTCCTGTCTGTTTTTGACTCTTTCTAGGAGAAATGATGGGGGAACATCCCCTGCCCCTGCCCGGGTGGTTTGGTGAAGACATTCAGAAGGGCAAAGGCAGGTTTGCTCCTGCCACATCCTAGGGTACCAGGAGTTTCCATGCCCCCCCAAAGGGATGTTTTGCCCACATAGTAAAACTGTGCAAACCCCTAATTCTGCCCCCAAATGTCCCAACTGAAGCCTGAGATGAGCCCTTGCTCATCATCATGGTGTTTGCTCCTCATTTTGCCTCTCCTTGGGATGAAGGATGTGGTTTGACCAAGCTCTTCCCAGCTTGTCCTGGCTCAGTGGGCTGGAATTAAGGAGCCATCCAGGTGCCATCCATCACTCCAGCTCCATGGGATGCTCTCAGAGTCCCTTCCCTCGCTTCGGAGACTCACCGGTACCCAAAACCCATCCGTCGCATCCAGCTCCTGCTGAGCAGCTCTGTCAACAGCCACCAGCTCGATGGATGGCTCTAACCCCCCCGGGCACCACGCTCCCTGTTATCATCTATTATTTACATCCCTCAATTTAAAGGATTTACAGCCCCCTTGTTATTTCCAGAGGCTGTTTCCTCAGAGAGTTTAAATAGTGTGGAAGTGAATTAAGCTCAATGCAAACAGCCTCAGACAGGGCACCACGGACCCGGCGGCTGCTCTGTGGCTTTGCATCGCCTTCAATTGAAACTGGGGTCCTGCCAGCATGGATCCCAGTGGTGGAGTAGGGAATGGGATCCAGCACTCCTTGCCTTTGCTGTGAAGGCTCCTTAAGGGGAGACCTTAGAGCAGCTCCAGTGCCTAAAGGGGCTGCAGGAAACCTGGAGAGGGGCTTGGGACAAGGGCCTGTAGGGACAGGCCAAGGGGAATGGCTTGAACCTGCCAGAGGGGAGACTGAGATGGGCTCTTAGGCAGAAGCTCTTCCCTGTGAGGGTGCTGAGGCGCTGGCACAGGGTGCCCAGAGAAGCTGTGGCTGGGCAGGGATGCTGTAGGGCCCCCATTTTCCTATGGGAGCTTCAGGAAGGGCCAGGATGGAGCTCCCCTAAGCCCAGCTCGCTGTGTGCTGGTGAGTGCAGCAGGGGATGTGAAGCCCATTTTCTCTTGTGATTTTCAGGATAAGCTCCCACTTCCCTGCCAGGATGAAGGGCCTTGTCCTGGGAGGGGAAACTGAGGCACGGTGCTGCAGGGAGGGGGCCTTGGAGGGTTTATTGGGTGAATCTGGGGCATCTCAAAGAGCGATGCGATGGGGCCGGGCTGCCACAAAGGTAAATGTAAGAGGGGGCTTGGTTTGCAAAGCTGCTGGAGGCACGGATGCTGCAGCTCAGCCCTCAGGAGCCCTAAAAGCTCCCTAAAACCCCCATGGCCTCATCCAATGTCCATTTTTTACCTTAAAACCATTCACAAATGCCCCAGTGCTCCCACATCACCTTTGCTACCACATCGCTTTGAGCTAATCCTGTAAGTAAGAGTAATAGACCCTGAGCTGGTATAAATAGAGCCGTAAATAAGTGCTGAGGTAAAGGCAGTTCCATTCGAAGCCACCGGCCCTGATTTTGTGTGTTGTGTGATTTATTAAGCTGCATCAAGTCCTTATTTATGGATTACCAATGACAGCAATCAAACCCCAGTGGTGTTAAATGGGAGGGTTGGTACCCAGGGCATTGTGAATGAGCCAAGCAGGTTCCCCCCTGGACAGACTGATCCCAGGGATAAACCCACCCCAAAGGGTGATCAAAGCAGTGCCCAAGACCTGAGCAATGGGGACACTGAGGCATGGAGGGTGCTGGTGGGTACAAGCTGGCATCTCCTGCTTTCCCCTTCTAGCTCCAGGTATTCCAAGTAACCCCTCACTCCCCACCATGCTTTCACCCCCCACCAGCCAAGGCATCACACATGTTTCAGCCCATTGCAACCAATTATCCATAGGAATTCCCATTCATTACCAGCTGCTCTTTGCCTCCAGCATCCCAGGATGATGTGGTGACCGATGCTTTCATACCTGCCCCTTCCCATGCTCTCTTGCAGGTGGCAGCGCTGGAGAGGCAGATCTTTGATTTCCTGGGCTACCAATGGGCCCCCATCCTGGCTAATTTCCTACACATCATGGCCGTCATCCTGGGCATTTTTGGGACCATCCAGTACAGATCCAAATACCTCATGGTGGTAGGTACCACCGCGGATGCTGCTCCTGTGTACAGCATCATCTCCCCTGGGGATGGCTCAGCCTCAGGTCCTGCCCTGTACCCAAAGCTGTGGATCCGGTGGGATCCATTGAGCAGGTTGGAGGTGGGATGGAGCAGGGGGTGTCCATTGGGCATTCCCTGAGCAGCTCTCTTCCTGGCAGTACGCGGTGTGGCTGGTGCTGTGGGTCGGCTGGAACGCCTTCATCATCTGCTTCTACCTGGAGGTCGGACGCCTGTCGCAGGTAAGGCTCCTCCTCTTCATCCCCTTCTTTTCCTTATCTCTCCTTCCCTCCCATGGCTATTAAATTAGAGCTCGTGCATGGAAAAGAGCAAAACATGTAGTGATAACTCCATGTAATGATGTATCATTAGGTGATTTGAGCGTCCCCAGCCCGCAGTTGGGGTACCCATGCTGAGGATGCACCCTGCTCTGAGGATGCCATCCCAGAGGGCTCAGGACATAGGTCCCAGCTCACTCTGTGGGGTTCTGGGGGGACTTGATGGATGAAACCATCTTCCCATGTGGCTCCAGGACACTTGAGGCTGTTTTAGCAAGCAGAAACATGGGATCCCTGCACCGTGCTGGTGGGGTGGTCCCATGGCTCTGCCTCTCAAGCAGCAGGTCGAGGAGGGGGATTCTTCCCCTCTAATGTATGGACACCAGCATAGGAGGAAGCCACAAACCCTGGGTGCTGACTGCAGGTTAGGGAGATGCCCTGCCCTGTGTTAGTGCGCTCTGGGTCTCACGGAGCATCCTTGGCTTGGAAAACCCCATTTTCTGTCCAACCCCTCTGCAAAGACCCCGAGCTCCACTCTCTGTGCCTCCTCCCACAGGACCGAGACTTCATCATGACCTTCAATACCTCACTGCACCGCTCGTGGTGGATGGAGAACGGGCCGGGCTGCCTGGTGACGCCGGTGCTCAACTCCAACCTGGCACCCGAGGACCATCACGTCATCACGGTCAGCGGCTGCCTACTCGACTACCAGTACATCGAGGTGGTGAGCAGCGCCACGCAGATCTTCCTGGCGGTGAGCACTGCTCCTTTCCTCCTCATCCTCAACCCCAAACCAGGGAGTGGGAGAAGGGGGTGATGGCAGGGATCGGGGTGGGCAGAGCTGGAGATGTCCCACTGTGCCATCGCGCATCGGTGCATGTTTATAGCATCAAGGGCAATGAGCCCATGACAGCACCCTGGGGTGCTGCTCACCCTAAAGCCTGTCAGGCTGTGGGCCGGGTGCTGCAGGGATTGGGGAGCTCTCAGTGTCATCCACACAGAGGTGTTGCTGGAGGATGAGCCGCTGGGATGCGCGGCTTGGCACAAGGGATGGTCCCCGCATCTCAGGGGCTGCCTCATCCCATGGGGAGGTGGGAAGGGGACATACTTGGATCCAAAACTCCTCTGGAGCCTTGGGGGCTGCAGGGAAATAAAGCTTGAAAGGGAATTGGCATCCAGAGCAGCTGCCTTGCACCCACTAAGTGCTACGTGGGGCTCAGCACCCATCCTGGGCCATCACCCTTGTCCCCATAGCGCAGCTGAACCCATCCAGCCTTATTGCTTCCCAAACCAGCACCCACTGGAGATGGGCTCCAGCATCACCAACCCAGGGAAGGCACTGATCCTGCCCAGGATGCTCCCAGTGCCCTTGGGATGCTCCAGGCATCCCCTTGCAGCACCCAGCTCCATGCTGGTCCATTGCCCATCACCCCAATGACCGACTGCTTCTGTTTTGCAGCTCTTTGGCTTCGTCTATGCCTGCTACGTCAGCAAAGTGTTCCTGGAGGAAGAAGACAGCTGTGAGTGCTCCTGATGCCTGTCATGGGGTGGGAGAGCTGCAAAACAGCCTCTGCTGACACCAACCAGTGTCTTGCTGGATGGGGCCAGGGACGGGGAATGATGCCTGGGTCACAGGTGAAGGAATACCTTTAGTTGGGGTTTTTGCCCCATTTTCCCATCCCCATTGAGGCAGATGGGCTGGGGTGTGATGTGCCACCCTGTGCCACCAGTGCAGTCCCCCTCCTCAGCCGTGGGGAGGGTGCTGCACCATGGCCAGGGCTGGCAGAGGACAGGGATGGGGATGCTGAGCCCTGAGCTGCTCCATCTCCCATGGGACTGTAGCACTCACAGTCTTTGGGTGCAGGAGTGAGACCAGTTTCATCCAATGAATGGGGCTGGGTTTTGGCCCCATAGCCGCCCATGAAGAGGCTGAGATGGTGCCCAGTCTCCTGGGTCCAGGTCCCATTGAAGCCAGGAAGCTCACCCCTATGTGTGGCCGGGTTTGGGTTCAGCATCCCTCTCGTTGCTCCCCACTCACCCAGATTCAGAGCATCTCCTCCAGCTCCCTGCTCCAGCATGGCAGTGGCAGGGAATTGCCCTCACTGCAAAGATCCACCTCAATGCTCTGATATATTCATGGTGGATGCTCCTCCTGGTGTGGATCCGGCGCCAGGGCGCTGTGGGAGAGTCCTGCTCCCATCTCCATCCCTTGCCTGCCAACCCCTTTGACAGCCACCTGGGGCTCAGTGACAAGGGAATGGGAAATACTGGGTGTCCCCAGCCAGCATCCCCATGGACAGCATCACCCAAACAGGTTTCACCCAAAACAGGGGGGGGGAATCAGCAATTTATGATAGTTACAGGCTGATTTTCATAGGAATTACATTGTGCTTTCCAATCTGATCCCAGCAAACCCCCCTCCGGAAGCACTGAGCACCCCAATTAACCAGGCTGTGAAGGCTGGAGCCATCCAACCACATTAAATGCTCATCTGCTGTTAATGAATTCCTGCCAGCTGGCAGCTCCCAGCAGCCACCACAGGCAGAGATGCTCTGCAATGGCCCCTATGGCAAAAGCTACCCCAGCATCCGGCTCCTTCCTTAGAATCAGGATGGCACCACGGAGCCAGGGATGCTCCCAGCGCATCCCAGGTGATGCTGGGGTGCAGCATCCCCATGTTTTCCGCCTGCTGGGAACCAGTGTAGTGGAAAAGGAACATCTCCATGTGGAAGTGGCCACTGCCAGCGGGAATAACTTGTTTCTGTGTCCAAGAAGCTGGCAAAAAGGTTTATCCAGCACCGCTGGCTTTGGAATGTGTTTGCATTCAAACAACTCCTGCGTTCGATACACTTTTAATATTAATGCTGCTGGAGCCCAGGATTCAAATGCACATTTTCAATGGAATATCACATTAGGTTTGGAAATGGATGGATGGATGGATGGATGGAAGGATGGATGGATGGATGGAAGGATGGATGGATGGATGGATGGATGGATGGATGGATGGATGGATGGAAGGATGGATGGATGGATGGATGGATGGATGGAAGGATGGATGGATGGATGGATGGATGGATGGATGGATGGATGGATGGATGGATGGATGGATGGATGGAAGGATGGATGGATGGATGGATGGATGGATGGAAGGATGGATGGATGGATGGATGGATGGATGGAAGGATGGATGGATGGATGGATGGAAGGATGGATGGATGGATGGATGGATGGATGGAAGGATGGATGGATGGATGGATGGATGGAAGGATGGATGGATGGATGGATGGATGGATGGATGGATGGATGGATGGATGGATGGATGGATGGATGGATGGATGGAAGGATGGATGGATGGATGGATGGATGGATGGATGGATGGATGGATGGATGGATGGATGGATGGAAGGATGGATGGATGGATGGATGGATGGATGGATGGATGGATGGATGGATGGAAGGATGGATGGATGGATGGATGGATGGATGGATGGATGGATGGAAGGATGGATGGATGGATGGATGGATGGATGGATGGATGGATGGAAGGAAGGAAGGATGGATGGATGGATGGATGGATGGATGGATGGATGGATGGAAGGATGGATGGATGGATGGATGGATGGATGGATGGATGGAAGGATGGATGGATGGATGGATGGATGGCGTCGAAACTGAGAGCAGGCTGAATACTAAGTCAGGAAGATAAATTTGCTTCCCCTTTTGAGCATGCTGCTGCTTAATGGACACCCCTCTGCAAACCCATCCAGCTCATTGCTCCATGGGGATGAATGGGTTGGGTTTGGAGAGATGGGTCGTGCTGTGGCTCCTGCAGCAGCTCGGACACCACAGCCTGGTGGAGGGTTCAGGTCTGGGGCCACATGGGGTGATTGGGGGAGATCTTGAGGTCCCCCCATAGTTCCCACTGCATCCAGCTATGGTGAAGGGATGGGATTTGCCATCAAGACTCCTCCAGTGAGCATCCAAGGGCTCGATAGGTGGTTGATGCAGGGTGAGGAGCCACCAGGCTGGAAATCGCCCCAGTGATCACTGATCCATGGGTGTCTGCAATTCCCTAAATTACAGGCCTTAAAGGAGAGGTAATTCCCCCATAATTCTCCTTAAATGCCCACTCTGGAGGCAATGACAGGGTAATTTTACCCACTTTGTCCAGCCTGCAATGCAAGAGCTGTTGTGATGAGAAAAGCCACAGGGATCTCTGCGTGTCAGTCCAGCTCCTTTCCGCTGTCTCTCAATGGCACTTCCCTGGGATGCTGCTGAGACCTGGGATACTGCGTGTCCCTGTGATGCTGCTCAGAGCACAGCTGCTGCCAAGACCTGGGATGCAGCACTTCCCCAGGATGCTGTGGTGACCTGGGATGGTGCCATGAGCTTGGATGGAAAAGAGAAGATCCAGGGAGACCTTAGAGCAGCTCCAGTGCCTAAAGGGGCTGCAGGAAACCTGGAGAGGGGCTTGGGACAAGGGCCTGTAGGGACAGGCCAAGGGGAATGGCTTGAACCTGCCCAAGGGGAGACTGAGCTGAGCTCTTAGGCAGAAGCTCTTCCCTGTGAGGGTGCTGAGGCGCTGGCACAGGGTGCCCAGAGAAGCTGTGGCTGCCCCATCCCTGGCAGTGTTCAAGGCCAGGTTGGACACAGGGGCTTGGAGCAAGCTGCTCCAGTGGAAGGGGTCCCTGCCCGTGGCAGGGGTTGGAGCTGGATGAGCTTTAAAGTCCCTTCCAACCCAAATCAAGCTGGGATTCAGTGACCCTGGGGTGCTGCAGGGACCCAGGACACCACTGCAGTCTGAGATGTAGCATTCCCTGCGCTGCTGCATCTCCCCAGGGTGCTGCTGCAAGCCAGGATGCTGCATTACCCATGGGTGCTGTCAGTAGAGGGGGGAGGCAGGGAAGTGTCCCCACCACCCTCCCCAGCTCACTTGGCTCCTCTGCCCCTCTCTCCAGTTGACTTCATTGGCGGGTTCGACTCCTATGGCTACCAGGCACCACAGAAGACATCACACCTACAGCTACAGCCACTCTACACGTGAGTCTGGGCCAGGCTGGGAAGCCTTGGGGATGCTCAGGGATGCTCTGGGATGCTCTGGGATGCAGGAGCGCCTCCAAGGTCCCTCATTGCACTATCATAACCCAAAAGATGTGATCTGCATCCTCCTGGCCTCACCATAAAGACCAGGGTCTCCATCAGGGCTGGGGTTGGGCAGTTTTAGGGGAGTTCATGCCCTTGTTTGCTGCTTTGTGTTTGCTGAGCCCCACAGGCAGCCCTGCAGGTAAGTGAGCTCCCTGTTCTCTGCTCCCTTCCCCATTAAGCTTAACCAGATAAAGGCTGAAACGAGATAAGGCTGCGAAATCCAAAGGGATTCACCTCCTGTTGGGTGCCAGGAATTAATTATATCCAAAGCCTTCTATCCAAACTCAAGGGCAGGACCTGCAATGAGAGAGCTGTGGTGGAGCAAATGCAGCTGTGATGCTGTTCAGGCCTCCCCATGCCTTTGGGTATGCACAGGCTCTCGCGTGCCCACCCCAGTGCATGGGTGAGCACCCATGGGTGCTGCACCCCACCGCATGGAGCTGGACGGCCCTGCAGTGTGAGCAGGGCACGGTGGGTGGGAGCTTCCTGGGATGGGGACATGGATGGTGTCACCCCGAGGGTGGCAGCACACACATGATGGGGATGGATGTGGGTGTCCTGCCCTCCCCGAGCCAGGTGCCCCAGTGATGCTCTTTATTGGATGGGCTTTAAGGGCCCTTCCAACCCACCCCAGGTTGGGACTGTGATTCAATGCCTTGGGTCTCACCCCTAACACTCTTTCCCCCCCAGGTCCGGGTAACCTGCCCTGGATCCAGCCCCAGCCCAGCGTGGGAGCCAGAGGCCACAGGACCCCCTGAGAGTGAACTGCCCCACACCCAACGACACAACCCCTGGCAATGGGGGGGGAACACGATGCCAAGACATCCATCCCCTCCCTGCACCTTGCAAGACCCCGAAGGATGGAGCCGGGAGCTGCACATCCATCAGCCAGGAAGCCTCTGAGCCCAAACCACGCACCCACAGCAGGATGGGGATGGGGGGGGCTGGATACAGGTGGACCCCCCTGCACTGTGTCCTCCCCCTCTTTGCCAGGATGGGACATGGGGACACGCAGGGATGTGGCATCACTCACTGGACACCGTTGTCTTCCTGGTGTTTCGGGCAGGAGGCAGCTGGAATGGGATTGAGGCAAAACCCAGCTGGTTTGGAGCAAACTGGGACCAGGGGTGAGGATGAACAGTGCTTTGGGGACAGGGACCAGCTTCATTCCCCAGGGCTGGGACACTTGCCCAAAATTCCAGGTCTGGGAGTCGGGCTGGCCCCAAAAACGGGGGTTTTGCTCCCAGAAGGAATTTCCCAGCCCCCTGACTGGATGGAACAGTGTCAGGGGGGTTCGTCTGGGATGATCCCCTTCACCATCGGGAGCTGGATCCGGCTGTCAGCATCTTGCCTCAATTCCCCCCCTCCCTGGGGACACCCCAAACCTCCCTGCGAGACCCCCCCATCCCTCCCACCTTTTTGGGGGGGGTCTTGCTCAAAGTTGGCAATACTGACGCTGCTTTGACACAGCCCCTTTCCGGCTGTTTTAACGCATCTCATGAATGTTTTGGGTTCGTTTTCTCCTTTTTAATTACTGGGTTTGGTTAATTTGTATTAATTTGAAGTGCCTGAGCAGTGGCTGAACACGACCCCCCCCCGGCCGACACCGTGCCTTCAGCAGCGCTCTGCCCACCCCAGGGCACCCTGGGGCCTTGCAACCCCTCCCTGGTCCCTCCATCCCTGTGGGATCTTGGGGGCTAATCCACCCCATCAGGTCTGGCAGCAGAAGGAGGGCGACATCGGGATGTGGGGAATGGTGATTTGGGAGGGGGGAATGGTCGAGATCCATTGGGAAGCGATTGCTCTGTGAATGGAGATGAGCTGGGAAGGCTCAGAGGAAACTGGGAGGAAAACGAAGTTCCATGAAGCATCCCAGCTCCTCCCAACCTCCTTGTGCTCCTTTGCTTCCCAGAGGTGGGATGTGGTGTCTCCTGGCTCTGGCCCCAAGCCCCCCATTGGCATTTGTAAGCAGTGTGTGTGGGGGGGGGGGTGAATTCTGCCTCCCAGGGGTTTGTCCTCCCATCCAGGGGGTTATTTGGGGATATTTTTTCTTTCCCAACAAGCAGCTGGGAAGCACCAACAGCTGATGCTGCCCAGGCCCAAATCCCCCTGGATTTGGCTGCACCCCCCCATCAGCCCTTCCATCGCCTCCAGCCAAGCTGCGAACTCTACAGGCAATAATTTTTCCACCCTTTCCCTTATTTTTTTCCAAGGAAAACAATGTTTTTCAGGCAACAGATTCCCCCCTATCCCTAAAACACATTCCCAGCCCCAAGCGCTGCCCAGCCCCACTGACACCACCATCTCCAGGGTTGATTTTCCTCTCCAGGACCAAGGATGCTCTCGCTGACCTGCCGCGGGGTGGGATGCGGGATGCGATGGGGTGGGATGGGAGCAGTCACCCTCCTGCTCAAAACCCTTCTCCAAACCAGCAGGAAGCAGAAGGAAAAGCCTGGAATCATCCTAACTCATTCAGAGGAGCTGCCCTCCCTCCTGAGCTCGGTGGGAGCCAGGCACTGGTGCCGTGACCTTTTGGGTTTCCTTATTCCCCCTTTTCCGTTGGCTTGTTTTTATACAGGACTGTATTTGTAACGTGAACGAGGATTTCTTTTCTATTCTGTAACTGTAAAAGGTGAAGGAAGGTTTCAGCTGATGCTGTCCTGCTCTGGGGCATTTCCCTTCCTGCTGCACTTGAAGCGATTAAAATCTGGTGGGTTTTTTACTTTCGCCCCCTTTTTTTCCCCTCCCTCTTAATGCTCCCACTCGCTCCTCTGGGATCTGCAGCACCCAGCTTGTACTGGTAACCATGAGCTTCCTTTTCTGGTGTCCCAGTGAGATTCCACCTTCTCCCTCGCTGCCCTCTTAGGGGATTTCCTCCCTGGTAGATAAATAACAGAAAAAAAGCTGGAATTTGGAACAGCAGAAAAGCAGAAAACACACACGGGAGGGAAGGGGTGGATCCAGAGGGACCTGGACAGGCTGGAGAGGGGGGACAACGGGAACATCATGGAGTTAAACCAGGCCAAATGCAAGGTCCTTTCCCTGGGTCAGGGCAATCCTCAGTACAACCACAGGCTGGGGAATGGATGGGGCAGCCTGAGGAGGAGGACTTGGGGTGTTGGTGAATGGGAAGCTCTCCATGACCCAGCTTCAGTGAGCGCTTGAGCCCAGAACCCCCCCCGTGTGCTGGGTGCACCCCCAGAGCATGAGCAGCAGCTCAGGGAGGGGATCCTGCCCCTCTGCTGTGCTCTGGGGAGACCCCCCCTGCAGCCCTGATCCAGCTCTGGGGCAGCAGCACAAGAGGGACGTGGAGCTGTTGGAGCGAGGCCAGAGGAGGCCATGGAGATGCTGTGAGGGCTGGAGCAGCTCTGCTCTGGAGCCAGGCTGAGAGAGCTGGGCTGGGGCAGCCTGGAGAAGAGAAGGCTCCTGAAGGGGAGACCTTAGAGCAGCTCCAGTGCCTAAAGGGGCTGCAGGAAACCTGGAGAGGGGCTTGGGACAAGGGCCTGTAGGGACAGGCCAAGGGGAATGGCTTGAACCTGCCCGAGGGGAGACTGAGCTGAGCTCTTAGGCAGAAGCTCTTCCCTGTGAGGGTGCTGAGGCGCTGGCACAGGGTGCCCAGAGAAGCTGTGGCTGCCCCATCCCTGGCAGTGCTCAAGGCCAGGTTGGACACAGGGGCTTGGAGCAAGCTGCTCCAGTGGAAGGGGTCCCTGCCCATGGGAGGGGTTGGAACTGGATGAGCTTTAAAGTCCCTTCCAACACAAACCATTCTGTGGTTCTATAATGATCCTCCACACCACATCTCATCCCAACTTCTAATCATTAGAGCTCTGAAGCAAGAGGCAGATTAAGCTTTCCAGCTTGTTTGTTATCACTAAGTATATCAACTCTCAACAGGCAATTACATGAGTAAGCCCTTTGGAAGCTTGCTACCTTCTCAGTCCACATGACATCTTCTTGCAGTCCTCTAGCCTGACTGCATTTTGTGAGGAGCTACCTCTTTCCACCAGCTCTGTGTACCTCATTTGCACTGCACCAACAGCCCTGTGAGATTGACAGGAAGGAAGATCCGAGTTTCTCTTTACATCTCCAGAGCAAACAGGGCTGGATAACATTGAGATCATCAGATCCTTTCCCTGCAGACAGAGCTATTCATTGGAATATGTATATGTAATGGAAAATGCATATTGTTACTGGGAACATACAGACTGCAGAGTCACAGGGCTGCAATGCTCATCAGGGGACGAGCAGTGGATTTGGAAGGGGTCAGTTATCCAGAAGGTCTTCCTAGTCCCCAACCCCACTCCTTTGCTTCCAGCTTCTCCAGATCTGATCTCTCAGCTTTGAGCTGCCCACTTTGTTCTTGTCATTGGTGACAATGTGTTGCTGTTGCTGGGCTGTCGCAGTGGCCTCCTGGGGCCCTCCCCAGGGCACAGCTATCTGCACGCTGCACCTTCAAGATGTGCTTCCTGTTTTGCTCCCAGTTAACTAAAAACAACACCCCAACACGTTATCACGTAGAGATGAGCATCGTCCCCACTGCACACTCCTAGGCCTACATTTAGGGTACACTAGTGCTATATCTGCCTGTGCAACCTCAGTTCAGCCCCCTGAGGCACACACATTGGGATCCAGCCTTTAATTACTGCTTTGTAGATGAGGTTCTTCCCATGGTACCCATGGCCCAGTTAGGGCTGGATCTGCCCTGGGGCAGAGGGATGAGGGAGCTGTGGATATGAGACCCCCATGTCCCCTCATGCACAAGCTGGAAGGAGCCCACAGCAGATCTGGTGCTTGAAATGCTTTTACCTTTCTTCTCTCTCATATCTTGAATGATTTTGCTTGAATCCAGAGCACTAAAGGAGGGTTTGCTGAGTAAGAGAGGGCAAAGGGTGAGAGTGGAGCCTCTCTGCTCCCAGCTCGCCCCGGCAATACAACCAAACCACCCAGAGCAAGAGGCACCAGTGCCAGGAACAACACAGGAGTCTCACGGCAACAGGGCAGGGACAGGAGCTCAGGAATGGTGTAACACATCTGGCACATGTCCCACTTACAGGAACAAAATGGAGCTTCTCCTGCCCGGGCAGCTGCCAGCAGTGGCTCCATCCCGTCCTCGAGCCCTTTCTGAGGCTCTGGAGCTAAAAGGCTCCAATGAGAGCAGCATGATGCTGCTTTGCTCCAGCAAAGGCATTTCAGGGTTCCTCCAGCCATGCCATCAGTCTGCTGCTGGGCAATGCAATTTCAGGACAGCATCCTTTGGGGTTGCCACCACATATCCTGCCTGGCAGGGCCACTGGAGAACCATCCATCCTTGCTAAGGAAATACAACAGGGGATGGAAAGAAGGCCTGGGATGTGTTCTTTAATCAATTTATAACCAAAGGCTTCCTTCCAAGCACGAAAACAGCATTGTCCCCATTCACCCACCGCATCCTACCGGCCTTGCTCCCATTCCTGCTCCCATTCCCTTGGAACCAGCCGTATTTATGTCAGCACACCTAGGACCAGGCAGCCGGATCTATGGATCAACTCGAGTCCCTGAAAAGCGTCTCTATGCCTTTGTCTGAGGTTGTGAAAGCGGCTTTTTTACTCCTTAACATCTGTGACTCGCCAGGGTCCCTCGGCTGCGGGAGGGAGCCGGCGCTTCTGCACAGGGTAAATTAATCCTTTGTTGCTCCTCAGCCATTTCTTCGCTCGGGTTGGGATGGAAGAAAATCAACTCGTTTTTCTTCCTGCCCTTCCTGTTTACAGTGACACAGGGATTCTTCACAGGATAGCAGGGAGAGGTGCTCGGACTCTATAATGACATCGCAGCCTTGGCCAGGCAGCGGACAGTGGCTGTAAGGAGGGATCGGATAAGGGGTTCAAAGTGAAGCCCCCAGACCTCACCATGGCTGTGGGTTGGGGTGCAATGCCCACATTCACCATGGCT